TTTTTAAAATTATTGCGAAAAATCCAAGAAGAAACGTCCTTTGATAAAACGTTTCTTCTTGGATTTTTCGCAATAATTTAAAAACGGATTTTCGTAGTTTTCTTTTTGTCAAAGAGCGTTTCTTCTTAACACGTGTTTCTCAATTTCCTGTACACATCGCGGAGAAGGAAATTCTGACCGCCAGGTTCCGTCGCCAAATCCCTTGGCAAATTTACCCTCCGCATTCTAGCGGCGTAATAGCATTTTACTTGTATGGAACCTTTTCTTCTTTACATAGACGTTCTTTGGTTAGAATAATAATGGAATTTGGCGACATCTTGATGCGCAGTAAATGGGTCATTTTGGTCTTGGCGACAATTTTCAAAATCGTGCCAAAGCCTTACCGTATACTAGAATTTTACCGCAAAATCTTTTTTAACCCCCCCTTTTTTTTCTTTTTAATAAATACCTTGCCATTTTGCAGTAAAATAAAAAAATAGTAATCAGTCATCTAGGCTAGCCATGTAATATAACTATATTCGCTAAAATATAGATGATTATTCTAATTCAATTTTTAAGTAATTATTTTTTTTATGTTATTCATATAATTTAATGTTGCTTCTTCCCTCTAAATTTATTTATTATTAGTAAATAATATTTCCAAATTTCAGGAAATTTTTCTCTGGCATAATCCTGAAATTAATTATAGCTGTATGATGACATACCATCACGAAATTTAATGCACATATTTTTTCCTTATGTATGCTGCAAAATAAATATAAAATACTTCAATTTATTAAAATAGATTTCTTTCTTTCGTTTAGCTGCAGAATGTCTGCAAAAAAAACCTTATTTTATTCCAGATTGGGAAGATTCTAATCTCAATCTTCAGTGGAGAAAACAACAACTATTATAATTATATTTGTGTTTTCAAGTGTTAAGGTTTTAAGAACATACCTCACGCAAATTAAATTTACCTAAAATCTAACCTAACTATTTAGCATTGCATTGTGATTTATAAGGACCGGATTAGCCTCGTGTTGAACTGGTGATGATCATGAGTAATAATTAAAATAAAACATACATTTGTTATCCAATATATATATCTTAAATTTTATTAAGTTTCTTAAGTGGAAAAGTAAACAAAATTATCAAACAAAGTATACCAAGAATAATTAAGAATAAATGTCCTCTGGGATTTATTGAATAATTAAGTGAATTTGCTACACAATACAAGTAATACCATAATTAATTTACCTCTTAGCACAGCCAACGTACATTACGCAGATAGACTGGAATTTTCTTGAAACACACCTGGAAAACCTGGAAAAATCAGGGAATTTCATTTTCCTGTTTGAGTGGCAACCCTGTGATAAGTTTGGATTTTTAGATAAATGGATTAAAAGTTAAGTTAAATTGAGTTTTTAGTAAGTTTGAAATTATAAGAATTTAGTTTATGTAATATTACAAATCAATAACTTACCTTTATAATGAAGAATTATATTTGAGATCCCTTTCGAATTTAATTTTAAAGAAAAACTTCTTTATGCTCTCGATGTAGTGATGTAGACTAGAGAAATGTCATTAGAATACGAGCAAGTTCAGTTTACTGTTCTGAGTCAATGACTCTGAGTCATTTTCATTTCAAATAACGGCCCACTAGCGGCCGAGCGGTAAAGTCGCTGAATACTGGTAGTTCGTTTCGAGGTTCGAATACCGCGAACGGACTGGCTGCATGGGCGTTTCCGTGGTTTTCCCCATGTGTAATGTGTATACGAGCCAGTTTACCTTAGAAAGTCCTCCACGAAGGCATTCCTTCCCTTAGGCAGATAGCTCTCGAGACTTTGCTACAATCAGACACACACACACTTTTTCATTTCAAATAACGATTAGAAAGTACTCCACGAAGGTGTTCTTCCCTTTGGGCAAATATTCCACGAGTGCTTTATTATTATATAATAATTCAATTCAGTTCCGTTTAAATAACATACAAATTATTGCGCGTTACTGAATTCTAAGCTTAAATATTTCACGTTGTTAAAATAAATTGTAATTTATTATATTTTTTCAAATGATGGGAAATTAAAATATTTCTTTCAAAACAAATTTAATATCTTCAGAATTATCTTTTACAGATTAGTGTGAATTTTTGGTAGATGAGTAATTTACAGACTAAGAAACACCACAGCTGTTCTCTTTCCTAAAGCAAATCAATTTACGAGTTCTATGCCTTCAGATTTAATTCTCGTTTAGGAATTTTAAAGAATTCTTAACCTGCACTTTATATGCAATGTGAGAATATTTTGTAAATTTTAATATGAAAAATATGATAAATATTGATTTACTCATTATTTCAAGTAAAAATATTCATCCATTCCATTTCCTGTCCCCATAAGCGAAGAAGAAGTCATAAATTTCGATAAATGTAAGGAAGAAAAGTTAACTGGAATATTTGCCGCTTAATGTTTAAGCAACCAGAATGAAACTTTGTGTTATTTGTTGAAACACAACAAAACCCGTTGAATTGGGATTGCAAAGGGAGTTAGCTTTGTCGCATAAAACATGCCCCTTTTTCTTTGACCTTGAATTCATTCAAAGATCCCTAAGAAACGGGAAATCTCTCTTTTCTAAATGTGGTGTGTCATAAATTCTTTGCATTTCCTGGACGAGGACATCCATTTCAACATGTGGGTGGGGCAAAGTCCTTTCATGCCACGACTGCTCAACTTACGTCAATGATTTTGTGTCCTTAAAAAAGGAAAGCATACATTCTGGAGTTAGCAATTGATACTTATGAATAATTTCCCCCTCCAGATTATTAGTCTAAAAAAGAGAAAAAAAATCAATCCGCCTTTAACTTTGCCATTTTGGAATGTTTCATACTTCTAAAACCAAAATTTTCCCGTCCCTATACCCTGCTTTCTGGAGCGACTGCACCGTCGTTTTTTACATTGTGAGAACCATACATTCAAACATTCTAGGTAACGTTGTTTCGTCATAGTGCGAGAAACATACATACATTTATGCAGATTCTTCCTTATTTAATTTTTTAAAAAATAGTACAGGGTGAAATTATTTGGTGGCAACAATTTGAAAAGTGATACGCCATTTATAATGAACCAACGCAATACATGTTATATTAAATTGTAAAAATCATTCACATTAATAAATTAAATTTCAAGCTTAATATTAGTCCTGATTTTTGGACTTGGGTTTAATGGAAGTGCTAGTAACAGATTCAATATATGAACAAAATTAAATGCTTCGGAATGACATATTATGAAAATTTCGAACTGCAAATAATATACCACATTTCCTCTTAATTTGCAAAGGTCATTCGAAATTAAGTACCAGAATCCTGTTTAGTTACTTCTTTATTTATACTTAGAAAATGTGTCTATTAATTATTCGATCATAATAACAAAGTATATAGAAATAAATTAATATACAAAATAATTACATTATAATAAATAGTTACAATTAATTTTCACTTCCACCCCCCTGTTGAATTGGGATTGCACAGGGAGAAACCTTTCCTTCAGGGGGTCGCCTTTAAAATTTTTCCGGTAAGAAACTAAGAAATACAAAGGAACTTTTCCTATTTTCTGCTGACTCCTATGCCTGAACTGAGGTAGGTCACGAAGTTACTATTTGATAGTCGAATGATGGAATATTAACTTTTGCAAACACTAAATTTAACTGTTTCATGTGCTTCCAAGGGCCCTTTTTCTGCATCTTATACGGAACTGCATCCCTGCACCATATAGGAAGAGGGCCCTTAAAAACTTAAAAGAAGACGAATTCTATTATATTAAAATAAGAATTCATAGTAGTACAAACTCTAAAAATAAAAATGAAAAGCGAAAGGGAAAAAGATACTTTTAACTTTAAACATGTAAATGTAGTTCAGCAGGACATTTAAGGGCCCCCTAAACCTTCGGGCCCCTATGCAACGGCATTCCTTGCATACCCTTATTTACGCCACTGGGGTGTAACAGAAAAAACGTTTGACTAGCTATCGGAAGGTCTGGAGTTCAAATCTCAGCAAGAGCAGGGCACATTTTTCATGTCTCCTGCAACAACAAATATAACACCTCTACAATGTTTTTGTTATCTGCACTTCCCTAAGAGTTGAAGACTCAGTACAACTTTGGAGCATTCATATACTCAATAATGACTTTAGAGAGAGACATTTGTTTGAGTATCTGTCCATCTACTTCTGATGTTTCCAGTGCCACTTTTCTTTTTGGTACTAAAACTTATTTTTTGCATTCATTTAGAAAATAAAACAATTAACTTTTTCTGGAAATCCTTTTGTTGTTATTTTTTGCACTGTTATGCTTCACATATATACAGTGTTTTTGGTAAAAAATTGGGAATTTGCACAAACTTGGCATTCTGCACCAGCCAATCATCTAAGAACAGTTGACACTGCAACATAATAAACATAAAAAAGGGCAAACTCTGCAATTCCATTATGATCCATTCAGAGTCGTAGCTAGGGTTTTCAGCGCCCAGGGACAACTGAAGGTTTCGTGCCTCCCACTGCTTGCCAAGGATGGAAAACATTTAATTCTAAAATGTCGTAACATCAGTTTGGCACCCCTTGGATTCTGCGCCCGGGGACAGATGCCCCCCTTGCCCCCCTCTAGCTATGCCCCTGGATCCATTACAACAAAAAACAAATTTACTCAATTCAAAAATGAAATGCTAGCCAGAAAAATTACCATTGGATTTCAAAGTGCTCATCCTTTTGCACTCAAACCTGTCCGTACTGTGCATACACTTGAGTTGCCACATTAATACTTTCGGTGGCATTGTGGTTTGTCACATAAATACTTTTGGGAAACATGTCGTATTGTTTTATCAATATTTTTTTACAGTTTTCAGGTCGGCTTATGATTTATCAAAAAGGCACCCTAAAATGTTTCATAATATTTCTGAAAATATTGCTTGTTGTTTAAGATAATGCTAGTGTTATACTTGTCAAATTTTTTATGTATTAACTTCACATTTTTAAGGGTATCTCAAGCAGTACAAAGCAACAAATTGCATCAGAGCTGAACCAACCTACTACTGCTTTTGTTTCAGTTATTAATGAAAAGGAAGCATTCCAAGATGGTAAATATTATTTCAGTGTTCGTGTAAGCTAAATATTTTTACTGGAAAAGGGATATTGTTTGTTTTGACATTTAATTTATTTAATTAAATTATGTATTTATTGATGAACTATATAAATCTTTTAAAGAAATAGATATAGTAAAATATATAAGGATTCAGAAAATTAAATGAGCAGGACACCTGTGCAGAATGGATGAAAATCGAGTAACTAAAAAGATCTCAACCAGACCATTCAACACCCGAAAAAGAGGGAACTCTAAACTTAGGTGGCTCGACTGTTTGGAAACAGACTTAAGATTTTTAAAAATAACCAATTGGATGTCCATGGCCAGGGATAGAAGAGTTTGGAATTCGATACTGAGGAAGGCAATGGCCCATCCTGGGCTGTCTGGCCATTGAAGAAGAAGAAGATTTTTTTTTAACTAAAAACTTACTGAAATAAGTGGGAATAGTAATTTATAGAAATAGTAATTTTGCTAAATCGAATAACTACTTTCCAGAAGAATATTTATTAGTTGAAGAGGATGTACTTTTAGATATATGTAATGCTTTTTTCAGTAATTATGGAATTTATTCATATACTTGTAGCATAAAAATAAAAAGAATGTGATTCTAAATCCTGAGAGCCTGCTCCAACTTCCTATGGCTCCAAATGATTTTGTCTCAAATGGAAACATATAGAGAGTATTTTCTTCGTTTAATGGAATTAACTTTGCTATATTTTGTCATGATAATATATATTCAGTAGTGAAAGGGTTAATTCTAATTCAGTTTACATTCAGTGAAATGCAGTTATGCTTATTATTTTGCTATCAAATTATCAAAAATTTGATAGCAAAATAATAAGCATAATTCTTGGTTTTCTCTTTACTTATAAATATTTTATTGTTCAGTATGCTTATGTATTTTATACGTGATGCTAGAAAAGGAATTTTGTTTTTAGAAAACACTTTTCAAAACATTTAAATACCATATGTTATTATATTATTATCATTTTACAAATTGTAAAAGAGATTATGTGGATGAATGGAATGGTCAGAAATATTGCTGTAGTTCACAGATTTATTGCTGCATATTTTTCTTTTTGAGGGGTATATTATCATAAAATAATATAATATTATTATATTTATCATAAATGTATCGTATGCTATTTATATTTTGTAAAGTCTATAACTCTAGACATTATTTTCCTTACAGCAAAGCAGTTTGCTTTGCAGTGGTATTCTCCTACATCTGAATCACCTCTTTGTGGTCATGGAACTCTAGCTTCAGCTGCAGTACTTTTTTCTATATATGGTAAGGAATATTGTTTTTATTTTCTAAATAATATTTCAAAATTTTTATTTCCTGCAGTCAATAATTATTCACCAATAAAACTACAAAATATATAGTAATCTTTATTAATTTAAATATTAAAATAGATCTTTGAAGTGGAGATTTTTTACTTCTGTGGGGTATAAATTGTAAAAGACCTCTACTGTATGCAAGTGACATTAGACACTCTTATGAGCCTTTTCTTGTATATTATCATTTGATTGAATCTTTCAAATTACCAGTATAATTTCTGCAAGGTTAGAAAATATATTTCCTTTATGCATTTCTACTGTTGATGATTATTGTAGTGAGTTCTTACTTTCTAAAAAATGTCTTTGTAATGGATGGTTATTATAATGAAATACTTTATTTATTTATAGTATAATGATATACTTTATATATATTTGTATACAGTATATTTTCAACGATCGAGATCATTTTTTCTAGTCATAATAATATAAGAATCATTATTATGAGCAGTTGTTACGCAGCAATCTGTTAAGTATTTAAGTGTCGTATTCCAATTTAAAAAAAGGAAGAAAAAATATTGTTATACCCTACAGATTTTATGGTATGGCTTCAAGTCATCATCACTGTAATGTGAACCACAAAAATACTGCTTTAATTCTAGAAGTAAAACAGGTCTGAAATCTATATTGCTAAACAAACCAGGAAATCTGAATCTTGTACAGAGCCAAGGCAAAGGTGAGTAAGTCACTTGCCTGAGATGCACAGACATAAGAGATGCCAAATTTCAAAATAAAGAGGAAAATTTGTTAAAAAAAAAATTATAAAAAAGAAAATATATTTTAAAAGTTTTTTTTTTTGGGGGGGGGTGTCCAAAAAAAGGTAAACTGATGTTCTTTCTCTAGTACTTATGAGAGGAAAACTAACTCACCAACAATCAGCACTACAGGCGGAAACAGTCTTTGCAAAAATGTGCTGGGAAAGTTAATATTTATCATTAAAAGAGTGGAGTTCATATGTTAGAAAATGAAATGAGAAAAATATTTTAAAAAGTTCATATTTTTAGGAATTGGAATAAAAATTGGCTATCTTAAAGCAGTTACTGAGCTGTTTAAGTTTTTTTTTTAATTATTAAAAATATGTGAAAAAATGAAAATTAATGGTAGCAATTTCTAAATATTTATCTGATAGAGTATAAAACTTTCATCTTATCATAAATAAGCAGGGATATTTAATTTGCCAAAATTTTCAACTTTTATGTAATATTATTTTTCAGATAATTGTTCAGAAACTTTGAATTTTGAAACAGCTAGAGGCAAATTGACAGCAAAGTGGTTATTTAATGAAAAAGTACAACTTGATTTACCTGCATATGAACCCAAATCTCCAGTTAGTTCTTTTTATCTATTCAGTACTCTGCTAACAGATAATATGAAAAATGGCTATAAAAACTGCATTTAATTTTTAAAAAATTAATAAAATCCAGTTTTTTATCCATTGGCATATATTTAATGTTATCAAACATGAGTCTGGCCAATAATGTTTTGTGGTATTTTATAGTTCTTATAACTCATAATTAAAGAAAATTTTTATGCAACAAATTCTTCTAAATATTTCAAGCACAACTATTTCACTTACTGTCAATAAAAATTGCTATCTGAAGCACATAAATATTTGCGTGTTTGTAAGATGATCTGTAAATTTCATCAAAAATAAAATAACTTTTTAATCTTTTCCCTAGATTTCCCACCTTTTCATTAATATTCTCAGTTCTTTTACTTTGACTAAAAGCAGTGTTTAAATTGCGCTGGCTCCGGTACTTCTCAATTTTTAAGATAAATTACAATTTTAGACAGAGCACACCAGAGCCCTAAATAAGATGAGCTCTGGTACTTCTTTTTATAAAACTAAACCACAATTTTAAGGGAAAAAAATTAGAATTCATATCATTGTAGTTAACAATAAGCAGACCTTGCAATACCGTATTTCCCTAGAAATACAAGACACATGAACATGAGACAAACTCATGAACATGAGACGTTCAATTAAAGTCCCCTCACTCACATTCGGAAACCTTTCCCTTTAAAAAGGGCAATAAATTTAGGGGGAGTTTGTTTAGGAATGCGTAAATTTCTCGCCATGCCATCCTATCTGGTGTATTGCTATTGATGGTTACAGCTAGTTATCCTCGCAGGAAGGAAAATTTGTGCTCTTAAATGTGCGTTAAGTGACAGCGAGTACAATAAGAGTGAAATACTAAGATAAACTGCTCAAGCACGTCCTGTACATCATCTTCCCACAGTATCCACTAATGTAACCAAATACGGGGGCTGAAAAGCATAAGTAGCAACTTTAGGAATCGGATTATTATCCTTAGAGGATCATTAGGAGTCAGATTTAGGACTTATTTGTACCCCTGACACACATCCGCTTGATGGCTGTAATTATATCAGCAGAGAGCCGTGGTCAAAGAGAATGTTCTCTCTCACCAAGATTCCTCTCATTTTTTGTTTCCACCCACTCATATCCTCATTCTGTTTCGTCCTGTTTTTAGCATTATCTGAATTATCATCAGCTATACTTTTAAGTATATTTAATTTTTATGGTGGTAAAAGAACTTCCCTCCCTCCTATGATCAGAGCTTAAATTGAGCTGTAGCTCACCAGATCCCGGCTCCTGTGCTTCTTAGTTTTTCTAATAAATCATAATTCTAGCTTGAGTGCACCGGACCCCTAAATAAGAATGCTGCAGCACTTTTTTTATGTTTCTTTATTTAATTGAATTATATTAAAATTTGCTTATTATACAGTCAAAAGTTGTTAATTCGGACACCCATAATCCGGAATGATCTATAATCCAGACCTCAAAGCTAAAAACTTTCTGCGCATGCGCCGCGTTGGCACATGCGCACAGGCGTTTTACGCATGCGCGTAAGACCTTGACTACTGCACATATGCGTGTGCACAAGTGCAGAATACGTTTTCGCCTGCGCGTTTAATGCATAACGGACGGTGTAAGCTAAAATTATCTAATTATCTATTCAGTTAATGTTAATGATTGCGTTGTTCCTTAATCTTCGAATTGGATCCCGCTTATTATTTTTTGCAGACTCTAAGAACAATTTTATAAAAGTAAACTTGAACTTTCGATTATGTCAAATAGAACTTTCGATGCTGGAACTTCCAAAGGATCTACAAAACGAAAGTATGTTTTGATGTCCAACAAACAAAAAGTGGAATTGCTGCAAAAAATGGATAAAGACATGAAGAATGTGACAGAGAGGTTAGTGAAAACGAAAAAATTTCGATTGACAAGTTAGTCCGTATTCTCGGCACAGCAATTAACGGGACTTGAGCAGCAAAACTTTGTCACTGAACAAGAAATTATGTCTGTTTATAGAATTAAAGAGAAAGTATTATCACATAAAACGAAGCAACTTAAACAACTTACATTGAAAGAAATGTTTAATAAAGTAAACAAATAAATATTTTTTTTTTTTTTTTTTTTTTTTTTTTTTTTTGTAAATTTTGATACCCTTTAGATGATAATTGTTCTTTATTTCATAAATTACGGTTTCATATTTTTAATTTTAGAATTTCTGCATGCCATCTTACGAGATTTAAACTGATGATCTATAATCCGGAAAAATCGATAATCCGGAATCGCCGAAGTCCCGACGAGTCCGGATTAACGACTTTTGACTGTATAATAATTGTTGAATAAATTACAATTGATAAACATTAATTAAATAGCTATTAATTAACTATTTAATTTTTAAATTGTTAATGAGTTTTAATAGTCATTTTAATTATTTATTTACTCTTGTTCCTCTTCGCAGACAGTCTTCCCTAGGGCTCCGGCATTTCTAATTTTAGAATTTAAGCCCTGACTAAAAGAGATTGTGCAGCTTTAAGTTTTATCATATTTCCTCCATATTCAAATATTTGGTAATTAAAAACATGGTATTTTTCATGAAATTCATTTATTAGTTTTAATTTTCTTATTTAAAACTAATAAATAGTTTCAGGAAAAAATATTAAATTTCAGGTCACCATGCTTCTTGTAAAAGCCTTCTTTCATGCAAGAGCCAGTTGAGCGATTACTGTCAGTTTTAAAATATTATTTTTAAGCATTTAACCAAGCTTACTTTAATTAATCAAAAATATCATACTTAGATTAGATTGATTCGTAATTTGTTTAAGCATCCGCAAGCAGTATTTGTAGATGTTCATTTAATGTCATTAGCTCAATAGCTAGTCTTCTTCTGGTTCCTTTCGATTCTGTGGAATGAAACATTGATGCAAATATGTGTAAGGAGTGTTTAATGCATCAGAAAGCATAATTCTAGATTTTGCTGGAACATTTTCCGTTTAAAGAATATGATTTTAAGGCAGCTGTGGTAGGTTTGGTTGATCTGAGGAAAACTATGTTGGTCATTTTAAAAATATGGAACTCTGTTTTAAAAAAACCCGCACATTTTACATTTTTGCACATCTGCTCTTTCTATGTAAAATAATATGTTCCGAATCATAACAGCTATTTCTTGTTTGAGTGGGAAAGGTGATAAAATGTGGCTGTGAAAGTCTGTATCATCATAACAAAACCCCAATGTTATGTAATATATTAAAATATTTAACCTTAATTAGCAAATAACATTGTGCTAAATATGTCAATAACTTCAAGCTGCAAAAGTAATTGCGAGATACTCTAAAAGTGAATTCATAAATAAAGTTTAAAAAATATTACTTTATTAGTCAATATTACAGTGGCTCATACCTCAAATTTTGACTCGTAACACAGGTCAAAAACTGAACCTATTGATGGCTCATATCTCAAAAAATTCGTATGTACCTCAAGATATGACTCTTAAAATTTTTTAGTCAATTTATGGTTTATTTAGAATTTAAGCAGAATAATTATTGTATAAAATAAGTAAATTCCTTCCTCTTATTCTGCAATTTCATTTATTCATATACTCGATTATGAGGCCTTGCTAAATTTTAGAACAAAAATATAGGGAAAAAAGACTTATTTTTGAATAAATATGATTATCAAGTTATACTTGGCAATTTAAAATTAACAAAAATTATAAGTTGTGTAATTTTCATGTATGAATTCTCTGTATATAATGAGAAAATATGACCCATATTATTTTTAAATTGGCAGGTAATGGAAGAATTTCAAGTATTAGTTAAGGTAAAGTAAATAACAGTTCCCCCCCCCCTTATTCTTCTTCTCCTAATGCTTTACTTCTTATATTTGTGATTCATACTTCTTGCATTCATTCATACATTATCTCTCTCTCTCTCTCTATGTATATATATAGTGTCGCTTATTCTTTATCATTTAGATCTCTGCTGTACATCATTTTTTAATTAATTGTTTCCTTTTGTATCAATTCCAGAACTTAGTTACATAATGTTTGGTATCTCTTATTTTATGTATTTTTTAATAGTAAAATTTAATAAAAAATAGAATCATTTCCAATAATATTCAAACTGATACTATCTAATAATAGATCACAGCAAAATTAAAATGTTCATCTTGCGGTTTGATGTGGTTTATTTTATTACAGCAAAGCCTCAAGGGCTCTCTGCCTAAAGAGAGGGATGCCTTTGTAGAAGACTCTCTAAGTGAAACTGACTCATATATACATTATATATGGGGAAAAGCCACAAAAATGGTCATGCAGCCACCTGTTCGTGGGGTTCAAACCTTGGACTGAATTACCAGTGTTCAGCAACTTTACTGTTCAGCCACTGGTGGGCCTATGTTGTCCTGGGGAGAAATAAATAAAGTTAAATATAAAAATTACCAAGCTAAGGAAATTTCTCTCTTGCCTTTGACTATAGGGTAGCCCATAACTTTAAAACTTAAACAAGCAAAAAAAAAAAAAAAAAAAAAAAAAAAAAAAAATCTGAAATGTTTCATATTTTAAATTACGCCCAAAAGGGCATTTTTTAAACATTTTGTGTGTTACATTTATTTATTGAATATCATGTTCTTCGCACTTAAACTTTAAAATTCAGTTCAACAGCAATATCGCAAAATGATTTTAAAATGAGCATATCTTTAGAATTTCCGATACAGAGACTCGCGTGCTGGAGATAAAATTGTTTTTTCTGTACAACGTTGCCATTGCTTGCATTGAAATCCTTGAGTTTGTTAATCAAAAATTTGTTAAAGTTGTACAAAATAGGAAATCTCTAATAAAATAAATAAAATTTGGTCTTTCGCATGCCCATATTCATAGGAGGATTACGCCATTTAAAATTCGATGGCTCTATGTACGGTTATTTTATCACAATGCAAGAAATATACGTACATTTATGCAGATTTTCATTATTTAATTTCTTAAAATATAACATAGGGAAATAATACTTTGTTACAACAGTTTGAAAAGTGATTCACCGTTTGTAGTGAATTGACGCAAAATCGCAAAGCGAAAACAATAGTCCTTCAGGTGTCCCTAAAGACTAATAATCTTTATTATTAGTCTTTGGACTAATAATAAAGAATATTTCACTTCTTTATCATTAAGATCTCTGCTGTACTTTTTTTCATAAAATTGCCAAATTTATTCCTATCTATCACTATGTTCCTAAATTTAGCATTAAGCATATTATTCCTAAAGCATTCAACGTATGAGTATTATTAGCATAAGCATTAAGTACAGGGTGTCTTAATTAAAGAACCCTATTTCAAAGCTCCATACAAGCAAAACCAGTAATCAGAAAATTGTAAAATTTTATAGGAAATTTAATGAAGAGATGTGAATTTCTTTCAGTGAAAAAAAAAAAAAAATTAGTTAGAAGTAGTATCACCAGAGGGCATTTTATTTTAAAAACCTGTAGTAAAATTGCAAATCTTTGTCGACGTCATTCAGCAGCTGTTGTAAAACCTAGAAACATTCACAGAGACTTTTCTCTTTCATAATTTGTGGCCTTCCCCATCCCCAGACCTCAATCCATGCAATTTTTTTATTTGGGGACATTTGAAACATCTGGTAGGTCTTGGCAATCCAAGAAAGTTACTTGATCTTAACCCCTTCGAGCCGAGTAGCGAAAACGCGCCCTCATCGCGGAGGCCGGCAGTGTCTTCCGCGAGCGTCTCTCCAGGGCCGGGGGCTTTTTTGCTACTAAGCCTAAATCCATGAAATTTCCGAAGTATCAACGCATTGTTTAATAATGCTCTATAGAGTATTTAAACGGCTTACGCTTTATAAATATTTTTATATATATACTTTAATTACCTTATTTCATGTTTAAATGCATATTTTACACATTTTATTTTAAGTACTCACCATTTTATGACTTTTAACATTATACATCTGAAAACTAAATATATTACTTAAAATTCTCTTTTTGTATGAAAAATTTGAAAACAGGGATCTACACACAGTCCTATGTTACATTCCTTGAACTCGTAATAACTCATTTGCCGTTTTGGAGGATTTTTCCGGGAATGTGAACAAACGAAGCATCGTCGTCTCATTTTCTTATCAGTCTCTTCTGAACAAAGTTTTGGAAAATGTCTTTCAATTAATCTTTCAGAATCAATATCTGAAATATTTTGCATCATTTCTGCTATTTCATGCTCTGTTAAACATTTTCGACGCTTCGGCATTGCAACGGTAAAAACAGAAAGAATTCACATCTAACAAGATCTAATTATTTTCTAAAAACCGAACTGTAAACCGAAATACTTAACGCTTTAGCGTATATAAAACTTCTACTTACAATAAACAGCTACCAAGTGCGATTTAAAGAGACGTCATAAATCACGCCATTCGGAAACATTTAGTTCCCCGTTTGTTTATATAATCAAAAACACGTGTATGTGAGTCATGCTTCTCTCATTTCGAGTAGAAGGTCTAATGTACATGTATCTGAAAACATATGGATATACAGTGCCATCTTGTGGCAGAAATTATAGTTTCTAAAACGTTCCAGGGTACTGGCACAAATACGTGACAGTCGGTAGTAAATGGGAAAATGCTCTGGCACGCCTGCGTGTCGGCCGGTAGGTGAGTGTGTTCATTGCTGGCACGTAGACGTGACAGTCGGCGCGAAGGGGTTAAAGCCAGCATTTCATGCCATGTGCTGAACATTTCCCAAAACACCTACTTCAGTCAGCTGTGGAACATGCCATTGTGATTTCAGATGGTAGCTGAAAATGATGGTCATCATGTTGAACATGTTTCCTTTTTGTAACAAAATTTGTAAAATTTTAAAACTGTTCTAAAGGTGTGCCTAAATGTATAATTTGTTAATATGATGCCCTCCAGTAATGCTTTTTGTAATTTATTTTTTTTTTCACTGAAAGAAATTCTCATCCCTTCATTAAATCTGCCACAAAATTTCCCAATTTTTGAAGTTGAATAGACACCCTTAATTTTGAGGTGAAAATCAACTTCTGTATTATTATTTTAATAATAGTTTGACCATGCATCATCATTTTAATAATAATTTGAATGCTATTACGCTGATTATAAAATAAACCTGATCACATTGCATTTGTTTGTAATTTTTAATGTATGGAAACTTTGTGTTTCCTGAGATTTAATGCCTGTATTCCTATAACATGAAGATATTGATAAGAATATCACAAAAATAGGGCCAACTTTATTTGTTTCAGATATAACCACCTCCTTACTTTTGTGTGATGTAAAATTTTGCTGAGGCAGTGGCTTTAACAATCAATATATTTTTTAAATATAAAGAATTTTAAATAATACTATGTAATCCCTAATATAAAATACCAAAGTAATGCCAGTACGTTTTAAAGACAAAAAATCAACATTTTACTAATGTAATTGTATGATTTAAGACATTATTTTTACTTACATTTGAATTTTGATGTTAATTTTATATTAAAAATTAATAATCCTTCAGGCTGTTACTGGATCTTATTGTGTTCAAGAAGTTTTGCTGTCCGATTCAAAATATTTAATGATACGTTTGCAAGACAATTTTACAAGGTATGAAATCATTATTATATATTTAGAACTATCTCTTTGAATTTTTTTGCTGCCAAATGGTTACAAGTTATTATATAACTCTTTAAGGAAAACGGACTCATATTCATGTAACATGGAAAAAATCACAAGAAACTTATGCAACCAGCTCATGCAACTTAACTCATGCAACCAGCTTGTTTGCCAGAATTTCAACCCAGATTGTGCTATCAGTATTTATTATTTTAACCATTAGGCCATTGGTAGGCTTTACTATTAGAGAGAAAGATTTAGAAGTTAATACTGAGACTGATCGCACATTTTTTAGATTTTCATTGAATTTACAAAAATATTTTACTTATAATTTATGTGTTTTAAATGTTCCATTTGATAACCCTTATTTTTCACTATCTTTCTACACCATAATTTCCAAGATAATAAAGCTTTCTTTAGTAGCTGAAGAGTTATTTTATTCCCTTCTTCTTGAACAGCATTCCACAGTCTGAGAAAAGTTGTAGGTCAACGTTTGGACAATCCACTTTCCAAAAGCAAGTCCAAAAGAATAAAAATCCATGGATGCTACATCAGGAGATTTAGTACGGTTATGAGTGAAGGGTATGGCCTTGATAAACATTTCTTGTCCCATTTTTTTTCTAGGAAATTAACAATGGATTTTGATTGCTTGCTTTGTCTTGATGCTGTTCTACTGATTGATGGCCCCATGTGTAAAAAGAAGGTATTTCATATTTAAAATGGGTATAAAATATATTTCTGGCAATATGTGCAGTTGATCTTAATGGTTTTCTGCACTCTCTTTAATTTTTGTTTATTGTTATATCAAAAACCAGCAACACTCAAATCCCTTTGAAAAACTTTCTTTAGATTCTTTGAACCATGTTGTCAAATTTTTTCATCTCTTTAATGATAATAAATGGATCTCATTTTATTGTGATCATTTAAATATACCAAGATTCATCTATTGTGACAACGTTTTTTCATTTTTGTCTGAATAATTGTTTCTCATAGAGAATTCAGCGATGCGTTCTGCTTTTGGTGATATGTCGTGGAGAGAGACTATGCACATTACATTTTTCACCTTTAAGATTCAAATCAGCATTAATCACTTTGTTTATACAGTCAAAAGTCATTAATTCGGACACCCATAATCCGGAATGATCTATAATCCGGACCTCAAAGCTACAAACTTTTGGCGCATGCGCACAAGCGTTTACGAGAGTGCGTAAGACCCTTACGGCTGCGAATATGTTTGTGCGCATGCGCGTTTAATGTGTAACAGAGTTATACGCTAAGCTAAAGTTATCTAATTCAGTTAATGTTGCAGATTGCGTTGTTCCTTAATCTTCGAATTGGATCCGGCTTATTATTTTTTGCAGACTGTTAGAGCAATTTTATAAAAGTAAGCTTGAACTTTCGATTATGTCAAATAGAATTTCCCATATATATTTACTACAAAGCGAAAGTATGTTTTGAAATCCGAAATCTGTTTATCAATTTCACGCTGCTGCTCTGCGGCAGAGGGGGGGGGGCAGAAACGTCATTATTAGATTATGATAGATTAGAAAGATTATGTCAAATAGAATTTCCAATATATATTTACTAATATGTAATTTGTATCTACAAAGCGAAAGTATGTTTTGAAATCCGAAATCTGTTTATCAATTTCACACTGCGGATTGGAAGTTGATCTGTCAACACTATCCTTATCTTCAGAGCAGATGTTTTTATTTTATTTGGATTATAATTCGATACTAAGTTTAGTATTTCATCTGGATGTACTCTGTCTTTGATATGATTTAAATCAAGTTCCTTGTAGCTTCGGATAGTGAAGAAAGTGACCCAGAGGTTATTGAAAACGAAAACATTTCGATTGACAAATTAGTCGGTATTCTCAACACAGCAATTATAGGACTTGAACAGCGGAACTTTGTAACTAAACAAGAAATTATGTCTGTTTAATAGAATTAAAGAGAAAGTATTATCACATGAAACGAAGCAACTTACATTGAAGGAAATGTTTAATAAAGTAAACAAATAAATATTAAGTTTTTTCTTTTTGTAAATTTTGATACCCTTTAGATCATAATTGTTCTTTATTTCATAAATTACGGTTTCATATTTTTAATTTTGTAATTTTTGCATGCCATCTTACCAGATTTAAACTGATGATCTATAATCCGGAAAAATCGATAATCCGGAATCGCCGAAGTCCCGACGAGTCCGGATTAACGACTTTTGACTGTATATGTTGTTTTTATGTTTTTACATATGTTTGTGCACTGTTTACATATATAATCACAGTTGACATATGTTTTATACACTTTCTTTCTGATTTTCTTATTTTATGCCCCTTTTTTAATGCAAAAGTGTTACATGTATATGAGTACTGCAGCCATAGCTAAATTTGTCAGCTGCATAATAAAAATGCATAATTAGCATTACTGAAACTTAAAGAATGTGAATAAACTAAGCCTTTTAGTATTTCATAATATTTTAGAATTATATTTTTAATCAGTGTTATAAAGAAATGGATGAATATTAGAAATTCTTGCAACTAGTCATAGTTTATTTATTACCTTAGGTACATTCTTGCATATAATATTTTTGATATAAATTAACTGGTTTATAAATAAACATCCAACTCTCATAATACAATCAGTATCCACTGTAAACTTGATACTAGTCGACTTAAGTAATTAAAGGAAGAGGAATGTTTTTGTGTAATAATGTTAAAATATTCAGTAATTTTGCATTCATAAGAAAGTCAGAACAATTAAATTTTAGGAATAAGAAGTGAAAATTTGTCTGGTGAACTATATTTATATGTTTTATCATGGTATATTTTTATTATTTGTATCTTTATTAATTTTAATATCTATTTAAAAGTGCCACAAGGAGTTATTTTCTCTTGTAAATTCTTTAAAAGAGAGAACTTAAATGAAATGCTATTTTTCTTTAAAAAAAGTTAAGAAAAATAACTTTTCATTTTATGACATAATATTAAAGTGATTACCTTAATGTCAGTATTTTTATAAATATTCTTTGCTATTTATCCATGGTATTAACTTTTGGAATCATTCTGTATTCGAATTTTCAGAAAAGAGCTTGAGCTGTTAAATCCAAAAGAGGCTGAACTTTTAGCTGCAACATCTGCTATAAGAGGTGTAATTGTGACTGTTAAAGGATCTGGCATGAATGATTGTCTTGATGGTGATGGGATAAGTTATGATTTTATTTCTCGTGTCTTTGCACCCTGGCGTGGAATATTAGAAGACCCTGTTTGTGGTACAGTTTACATTAATCCTTGTTTAAAAATACTATGTACATTACTGGTAATTTTTCCAGTTTCTGAATTATAAGAATTATAGGTATTCTCTCAATAGGTAATCTATCTTACTTAAGTGTGTAGGTAATTTATGGATCAATCAATATGTGTTGCCACGAAAATTGTTGTTTTTACTCATTTTTTTTTCTTCCACCGTTTTATTCAAATTTGCATGATTAGGTTTATTATTATTTAATATTAATAGTTTTTTACATTTTAAAAAATATATATTTCTTTTGCTTCATTTTATGCTGCGTATAAGAAAACTTTCAGTGTGTGAATATAAAAGGGTGAAATATTTTTGTTTTTAATTCAGATTAGATGGTTTAAATATTTCAATGAATTACTTGACATTAATATAACTAACAGTTAGCTCCTAAATGCTATATATGTAGATTATATCAAGAATTTCGCACATATAGTGAATGAAACAGATACGAGGTAAGACAAATACACCCAAATTTGTAGTGCTATATTTAGTTGTTTCAAAACATATTGGCAATTTTTTGTAAGCTGAGTATTATAGAAAGAGAGATAAATTAAATATTGTTGCTGCTTAAGATAACGGTTATTTTATTTGCTTCGTATTTCAACTCTTTATAAGGGAAACTTGAACAAAATAAATTTCTATTTCAGAATAAATTGATAACAAAGATTCAAAGACAGCATTTTAAAAACTCTTTGCAAATTCAATGGGAAAATTGCATGTGAAAGAAGCAATAAGCATAAACATTGCTTTTACAAACAAAATAGTTTAAAAAGGAGGTGGAACTATTTAATATAAAACTGATTAACCAACTAACAAAATCTGGTAGATCACCAGTTAGAACAATAAAGAATTATGTATATTTTTATGTATGTTTTAGAAGTAGCATTTGTTTTCAGTTTTCATAATTTTCTGTGTAATTTCTTAAAAGTAATTGTAGGAATTCCATACCAGTTTAAATGTTAGTGAATAATGAGTATCGTACGTACATAACAATTTACATTGAAGACTAAAAGCATTTAAGAAGGAATGATAATATTAACTCTCAATAAAGAAGGAGCGTGTTTCATCTTGTTTACATTGTTATATGTTCCCCTTCTTCATTTTCAAAATTGCTTACTGTAATTCATTTACAGGAGCTGCCCACTGTGTACTTGGATCATACTGGGCTAAAATTTTAAAGAAAAGCAAATTATATGGTAAGTATGCATATTCTCAGATTATGAAATTATCATATGGAATCTTACTCACAGTAAAAGTTTACATATGAGGAAAAGCAAAAGTACAGTTCATTTCCCTAACATAATATCTTTTAATTTTATTCTACAGTGAAATAATAATTCATCGCATATCTATATATCCGAAACATGCAGTAAGAGTTTATAAAGTAAGCAGTCGTAGGGAAATTAGTGTAACAAATTATAAACAAAAAACGGTAATGATCTGTATTCGGGACCGGATTCAGAAATGTATGAATGTATGTGTGTTGTGTGTGTATATATGTGCATATGTGTGTATATGTATGCACATATATACGTGATTACATGGTTTAAATACTTCAGTGAATTATTCAATATTAATATAACTGAAAGTTAGCCCCTAAATGCTTTATGTACCCAAAGGAATGTATGTATGTACGCAAAGGGTCTATAACAATGAATTAGGAGCACTGAAAATATAAATGTATCCAAAGTGATGCATAGTGAGATATTTAATGCCAAATTATGATTATAAGAGTTTTTAAATCATAACTTCTTCTTGATAATTAATGAGAAATTTAAAACTAAGTTACATTTGAACCAAATACGTTAAAATTTGTTTTAGGATGGGAGGGGGAAGTCTTATAAATTATTACTACATTTGTGGTCATTCCATATAAGTTCTTGAAACAAAAATGAATTTGTTGTCATATGTATTAGTTTTAGATATAAAAAAACATAGATATAATTATTTAACATTAGACAGGTATGTATATATTTAACTAGTTACAGATACAAAAATATGATTTGAAAATCAGTGCTAAGCAGCACTTATTTGCCAGAAGGCTTAATTGAAAACACAAAGGCTCTTTATTTGTAACTTTCTTAATCTGGTTAAAATATTTGGTGTTATATGTGAAGATATTTCTTTTGAAACGGAAGTTATAATTATTTAAAAGAATAAACACCTTTATATGCATAACATATAAAATTCTATTAAATATTAATCTATATAGTAAGCATGAATTTTATGTGATTACATCTGTAAATGACATGACCAGATATTTCATTTTAAAGTACTACCAAACTGAGATCATTGCATTGTGCTAATCACATGAAAAAATAAGTAATGAAGCTCAGTGTCTTAATTGTTCAAAATGTGATATTCTAATAAGGAAATAACTTGATTTGAGTTATTTTGTTATTTTTAATTGCCATTCTTATTTCTTATAGCTCGGCAGTGTTCACCTAGAGGTGGTGAACTAAATATTGAAGTCATAAAAGATAGAGTTATGCTAAGTGGTGATGCATTTATTGTTGTGAAAGGGCAAATAAACTTTTAAAAAAGGAGCAGAAAACAGGCTTGGATAAAATTGTATGTTTTATTAGCATTAATTTCATAAAAAGAGGCTAATTGCTTTGAATAGCAATAATTATTAAGCTACAGAAAGTAGGAATATTAGAAAATATCCTTGTGAAGATATGAGAAACTTAAACTATAATGTGCCAATAAATAGCTATTTTTGGATAACTTTTGCGAAAGAAGAACGAATGAAATAATGTTATTAAAATTGGATTATATATGAATATCAAGGGGGGAAGCAATTATATAATTCAAATTTAGAAATAAGCTAAATAATAGGAAAAAAGGAACATGTACCATATTATCTTCTGACATGTTTTGAGCTTCTTTTTTAAATTAATGTGAGTAAAAATTATTGATTAAAAAATTTAAGGGCATTATTTTTTATAATGGCAGTTCTTAGGCAAATTTGCTAAGTTTTACTTCTATACCTATATGCCACATCTGTTCCTAAATTAATTTTTTAGAATATCTATTAAAAATATTTAACACTTTTAAATTAAAAAATTGGATGCAGAAGTTGTTCTATATTACTGACTAACATTAAAAATTTGTAACTTTAATGATGTAAAGTGTTTAGAATGAAAAATAAGTATGTAGTAATAAAAGTATGTAAGCAAGACAGGGCTAGTTTCAAGGATAGATAACATAAGCAGCTGCAGAGAAGTATTTAGAGGATGCCAACAGCTGAGTTGTCCTCAAAAGCTACAAAAAATAAAAGTATATTTTCCTTTGAATTATTAACATGTTTGTTGAATTTATTCAGGCACCAATTTTACTTGTCACTTAAGTGCCAAAAATGCTAAATAGCTGGGTTTGAAATAAAACATAACAATATTATGTTGTAAATGTAATATGTTATATAGTATGCTATGCAAGCAATATGCTTTATGCTACATATTCAAGAACCAATGAAATAAGTATCAGATATCCAGAAAGTTTGGGGCAGCTGACTTACAGTATAATTTTTCTGCTTTTTCACCTGGTGATTTGGGTTTAATTTATTTGATTATGACAAAGCATACAAGGGCTATCTACCTAAAGAGAGGATGCCTTCATGGAGGGCTTTCTAAGGGAAACTTCCTTGTGTCCTTTATGTCACATGAAGGAAAAATCACAAAAATGTCCATGAAGCCAACTAATTCTCCTGGAATTGAATCCAGATCAGTGTGAAGTTCAGTGACTTCGGTAACACTTAAACACTCTGAACTACCATAGGGTAGCTAGGTACAAGAAAAGTAGCTTCCGCTATTGAGTTATGTTCTGAACATAATGAAGAAAAGCTTGGTACCATTAAGCTAATCAGTAGAAAACATACATCATTCTTTTAAGGGTAAGACAGGAAAATTATTATTCTGAATATTTGGTTGTTCTAAAACATTTGTGTATGATAACTTCATTAGTCAAGAAAAATTTGTTTGGGTATTAGTATTACTTAATGCTATGAATTTTATAGCTTGTTAAATGTCATAAATTTTATTGCATCTTCTGGGGAAAATTTAATGCTACAAAATTAGCTTTCTATATCCGACCTATGTATTATAAAAATTCAGTGTAACTGAAATCTGTTCATCCAAGTGGCAATGGAATGGCCTAATTGATGGGGTTCTCATTAATCAGAAATATATTGTATACTAAAAAACTTGAAAGCTTACTCTAGTAAACTCAAATATTTGTGTATTATAGTATATATGTGTGTGTGTGTGTATAACAGTATCACAGATTTTCATTTAAAAAAAAATGAACCCAATTGTATTTCTGTGCAATATGCTGCTGAAAAATTAATAAATGATAGATAAAAAGTAAGAACATGTAATGCGAATCAAACTTAATTCAGAATATATATAAATTTAAATAAAAATATAAGGTGTGAATAAGTGTTTAAGATAAAGCAAGATTTAAGATTACATCGATGGAACTGTCTGACAATTATTCTTCAGACTTACAAGGGGAAAAAAATAAAGAAATGCAATATTTATGCCATTTGACAAATACGATCCTCCCATGTGAAAAGCTGAACTAATGTGCAATTTTCTCGATAACTACTGAAGAGATTTCAATATTTTTTTTTAATAATTTTGGCAATAGTTAAAAAAATATATTTGATAGCTCAGAAAAAAGTAAATAAAAATAAAAATTATGAAATTTAAAAAATAAGAAAAATCTAGTATGGTTTTCTTTAATACTTCGTACTACCTGTTGCAACAGCCTTGACTATTATGGTATTTTGAATTATAAAGTAGATCAGCTGATTTGCACAAACACATCTTTGTACTACTTTTCTTTGTTGCATTTTCTGAGTTCTTGCTTCCAGATGAAGAAATTTTTTTTACTCCTTCACGTACACTTATTTCTTCTGTACCAACTTCTTTGATGTTTGAAAAATTTTCTTTACAAACGGTAAACTGGTTTCTTGTGCACTATGATTTTAATGTACAAAACTTAGTACCAAGAACATAAAACTCATCATGTTTAATATCTGTAATAATGACTATTACTGATTTTGGATACATTTTCGACTTATAAGTATCAGGTGCTATAAGTTTGTCCTTTCTTCCAATATTTAGAATATCATAATGTTTCAATCTTCTGTTTGTTTTTCCTTCACACATTTTGCTTCTTTCACTTCATTTATTAAATAAGTGTATTTCTTATTTGTTAAATAAAAGCTGTTATTGTGCTCATTTTCTACAGATTTATACAAAATGTCTTAAAAAACTTTTTCCACATAGCATCACTCATTTTTTTTTAGCAAAATGAAAAACACAAAATATGTTAAAATGGAAACAAACTCCTTCTATTTTAGATTTTAGCCACTTACACTTGTTTGAATTCACTCGAAGCTAGATTGCGTATGATGCAAATAAGGAGGGGTGCAGGTATAATTCAAGGTCAATTTAAATCCCTCGTTTGGGGCTTTTACCGAAAGGCATTGTTAACTCTTAGATTTTACTGCAAAGGCTTGGTAAAAAGACAAAATGGAATCATATTAAAGCATGCTTCGGACTTTTATCAAGCCACTTTGGTAAAAGCTAGGTTTTACCGGTAAAACCTACGATTTAACAAACTTAGCTTTTATAGTAACATATCCGTGCATTCATGCACATGTGTAATTTAGGAATATTGACTGCATAGATTGAGTTTGGAGCATGCATAGAAGATACATTTTGGTGAATAAACTTGGAAGTTGGTCAGTTCAAGAAGACACATGTTATGTTACGATTGAAGTTATGTTTATTATTATTATTATTGTAGTTAAATATTTTGCAGCCACAAGTAATCTGACACATTAATAATGCTCGTTCCAGTATATTTACATTTTTAAAAATATTTTTGTGATAAGAAGAGAGTGGTGCAGTAGCAGTCTAGCTAGACCAAAAAGCAAAAGTGAAATTAAATGTTTTCAGGATGAAATCTTAATTCAGAATGTATTAGTTTCAGTATCAGTAAATTTTGAGTGGATAATTAATAATGCTGAAAAATTATTATTGACTGTTTGAGCTTTAGTTCCATTTGCATCACCAGCATTATGTAAAATCGTACAATGTGGATTAATCTAGAAATGATGCAGTCCAGAAAAGTTATCATAAACAATTACTATTTTTAGAATAAATAAGGAAAATACCCTAAAATAAAGAATTAAGATGTTATTTCTAATTGAAGATTTTAAGTTTGCATTTTGAAAGATATTTGAAGTGCATTTGCAAAAGATTTATAATTATTTGTGTATAAAGTATGAAATCCAAGTTAGCTACTATTGTTTTATCTAAGAAAATTGTGTATTTAATTATATAAAATTAGGAAATATGTGATAAATTTTATGTTCATGAATGTTATAAATTTTATTCTGAAAAAAAGAGGATAGGGTTTCTTTTAATCATCTGTTTTAATATATTTACTCAGTTACAATGGCTATAAATGTATTTTAAATCAGAAGATTTCTAATAAAGAAAAACCCTGTTTAATACAAATTCAATATGCTTGGTAATTAGTCAGTGTGAATGAGTGATTGAACATTTTTCCATGCTTTATGTGAGTGTTTTGATATGTCTTATGCAATACCGCATTTTTTATTGCTAATTGCTCGGTAATAAATTTATTTTAAATCTGGAAGTATTGCTAAAACAGATCTAAAAAGTATAGCCGTTGCAGTGAAGAAAACTGCAAGGATCGACATTCATAATATGTACTCAGCATTTGTACTCTACTGTTAATTTTGAATGGAAGTATAGTTTTAATGTTAGCATGTTTTTATTGTTTAAATTTGTTAAACATTGCATCAAGTTTTAAGAAACAGTAAACTAGCTTTTTTTTTTTTATCTGCAATGAAGGAGGAATTCAAAATTAAAGAGTAAGGGGGTGGAGGGAAAAAAAAAAAAAAATATTCTCACTTAAATTTTAAAAAGTCACCTTTTAAACTGCAAGCAATTGAAGACTAAAGCTAATTGAAATTGTAAAAGCATTCAAGCTAATTTTTGCTCATTTTGATTGGTATCAAATGAATTTAGAAATGTATCGAAATCTTCATAAGGTGGTTGCCACCTGTGACAAATTGCATATCAAAATAAAAAGTGGAGCACTATTTATGCATCATTACTTAACTTTTACAGGGGTTGAAAAATAATTTAATCAACTGTTTGGGCATTAAATGAGACTTTATGCAGTAGACTTTTTAACTTTTATTATTATATATTTTTAACTCGTATGTAAGACATACACCCACAGCCGAAATTTATAGTCACCTGTTAATGTATTGTAATTACTCTTGTTTATTGTATATATTTAACGTGATTTTGCTTAGCGTGCAATTGTTGATTGGTTAATTAACTGCATAAAGTTAGGTTTACCTATGTCTTTGTAAATTAAGCTATGAAAGTTAGTATTGTGTATAAAGAATAGTCAGTTTACATTTTGAATAGTTGTGAATTTTCTAGATATTTTTCTTATATTCAAGACATTATATTTTTTACAGTGTCTTTGTATTTTGTATTTGTTATTATAGTATTATATATACATATACAAAAACTGCAAAATTTAATGTTTTGTGCAGAATATGCTATATAGTTTGCTGCATATGTATTTTTATAACAAAGTAATTTTGTGTATTTTGTTAATATTGCAATTAAAAAAAAAAGCTATTGTTTATTAAAAATGAGTTTTTTCTCCTCTTAAACCTCAAAATATTAATAAATAAAGGATGAATCATAAAACATTTAGCATGTCATATATTGTCTCTATCAAATTAGCATATTACATATTGATTGTATACAGACTGACTGTAATTTTAAGATGGTGTAAAATCAGTATCTTATTCTTAGTAAACAAATGTAATGATACAGCTCTAAAAATTCATCACTTTGCAATTCATAATTTTCCACATTCCATTCTTCCAGCAAAGATCAATGTAGAGATATTATAAAGACAAAAAGGAGAGAGTAGAAAACTTCAATATTTACCTAAATAGTACCTTTTGTTCATGTATATGAAGTCAGCTGAGTACCGAAGTTCTAGATGATTAATGTATTAAAATATTAATTAATTCGAATAATATGTGCATATGTTTTAATTTAAAAATACTGTCGAATCCGGTTAATTGGACCACCGGATAACTGGACCAGCTGCTTTTTAGGACCGAAACCTAAAGAAAGAAACAAATCTTATGTACATATAAGCCTAATATCATTCGCTTATTTGGACCAAAATTCTGTTTAATCGGACCAAAAAATGTGAGAGCGAATAAGAAATAGAAGCCACAAATCAGCCACGTACAACGGATGTATAGGTATGCGACATATGGGAGGATCTGTAGCTGCGCTCCCCAGGAGAATGCTTTATCGAAGGTCAGGAATTCCTTAAAGTGCATAACGAGCAAAACCAGTGGGAGGTGAACACGTGCACCATTTTTTTTTTTTTTTTTTTTTTTTTTTACCTTTCTTAAAACAGAGCTACCAGTAGCCGCCAGCGAGGTTATTGGTCCCACTGTGTCTCCGATTTTCGAGGAAATGAACAATAGAGTGCCCGGCTCCACCTGAAAAGAATTCCCGCCTGTCAATCATGATTAAAGTTTACACGAGAACACCATCCTTTTGGGATGATTTTAGTGCCAAAGCTTTGAATGGCGAGCACTTATCTCCCCCTTAACCTCAACATCTTGACCCCAAAACACGAAGTTTCTTCAGACCGCTTTATTCAGTAAACTGTATGCTTGTGTTGTCTCCCCTGCCAAAATGCCATGATGGGACTTGACTTTGGCTGAAAAAATTGGCTTCCTGGATAAGATCCAGCAACAACCACGAAACACTAGTCAGCGTTGGTTGGTGGAAATTACCGGATTGGCAAAGACTACAATTTTGCGCTTGATAAAACTGAGCTGTGAGAAGAATGCGCACAGTGTGAAGGACGAGGAGGAACTTTCCAAAAGATGAGAAGCATGTTAAGGCAAAGGAATCCAGACGGTCGATGATGCCCTTAATGAATGGTTTGCCATCGTTACTGGACGAGCTGTGCGAGTAAGCGGCCCAGTGTTAAAATGCAAAGCAGAACTCATTAAAAAAGGCTGGACCATGATGACTACGAACAGTTGGTTGTCTCAATGGAAATCTAGACATGGCATGGCGAGAAAGTGCTGATGCTGAAGAATGGAAATCAACAAAACTGTCCAAGCTTCTTGAAAATTTTTCAGCTCTTGACATATACAATGCTGATGAAACTAGGCTGTATTATCGTGCTACACTGGAGGGCTCGTTAAGTTACAAACATGTTGCACTCTCTGGATCCAAAAAGCGATGGGTTACGTAACTGTCTTGTGCTGCTCAAACATGTCAGGAATGGACAAGAGGAAGCTGTTGGTTATAGAAAAAAGCACTAAGCCTCGCTGCTTTAAAGGACTTAGGATGGACAGTTTACCAGTTGTGTATCCTGCGAAGAGAAATGCGTGGATGACCTCTGAACTTTTTAAAGAATGGCTGAAGGACTGAGACAGAGAGCTACAACGCCAGTCGAGAAAATTGCTGCTTCTTTTTGACAATTGTGCAGCACATTCTCATTTAGATTGCTTGAAAAACATCCAACTGGAATTTGTGCTAAACACGCACGTAGTACCACAGCTTTGGTCACAGCAATGCGTACATGGGCATACATCAAAAAAGTTTGAAGCCTCTTTAGGTCCGGATGTACATACTTTGTATTGTATATATTCCAGGGTTGCCACGCTACCTGGAAAACCGGAAAAAGTCAGGGAATTCGGAAATTGACCAAAAAATTCAGGGAAAAGTCAGGGAATTTAAATGTTTTAGTCAAAATCTGGAAAAGTCGGGGAATTTCATACAACGATCCCTCCAAAAAAGGCGAGTTTTGCGCCGACATCGGAAGAGATCACTTTTTTGGCGAATTGTGTATCACGTGAGTGTCATTCGGGCAGCTGGCATCGAGCCAATTTTCGCAGCTTCAATTTGATTGTCTTTTAGAAAGGCAAATCAAGTTTCCCGCAACTTTTGGTTTCCAGTAACCTCGAAAATCGCATGTGCAGTGCATGAACTAAAGAAAGTACCTGTTCTCGTATAAAACAAAATGGGTTTAATCCTAGTATACGGTACCATGAAGGTTAGAATCAAAAAATATGTATTGTAAAGAAAGAAAACCTCTCTGCAACAAACGTGACTCCATTCCATCATAGAGGGAAACAGCTGTGCATGCGCGATATATCTGTCGCCAAAGCTCAAAATCGATGTCGAAGTTCGAAGGTCACGTTATCAAGAATTCATAAAATGAATATCGTTTAAAATTTCTTTAAACTGTAAAGGAAAAGAAAATATTTTTTTGGCGCAAGTAAATTAATTCATGGATTAGTTATTTTGAGGAAAAAAAAAAAAAAAAACTACGAAAATCCGTTTTTAAAATTATTGCGAAAAATCCAAGAAAAAACGTTCTTTGATGAAACGTTTCTTCTTGGATTTTTCGCAATAATTTAAAAACGGATTTTCTTAGTTTTCTTTTTTGTCAAAGAACGTTTCTTCTTAACACGTGTTTCTCAATTTCCTGTACACATCGCGGAGAGGGAAATTCTGGCCGCCAGGTTCCGTCGCCAAATCCCTTCGCAAATTTTCCCTCCGCTTTCTAGCCGAGTATTAGCTCAACAGCGGCCGAGCGGTAAAGTCGCTGAACACTGGTAGTTCGGTCCGAGGTTCGAATCCCGCGAACGGGCTGGCTGCATGGATGTTTTCGTGGTTTTCCCCATGTGTAACGTGTATACGAGCCAGTTTCCCTTAGAAAGTCCTCCACGAAAGGCATCCCTCCCCTTAGGCAGATAGCCCTCGAGGCTTTGCCGTAATTGAATAACCTAGCCGCGTAATAGCATTTACGTGTATGGAACCGTTTCTTCTTTACATAGACGTTCTTTGATTAGAATAACCTCCATGTATGGTACAGCGGGATTTGGCGACATGATGATGAGCAGTAAATGGGTAATTTTGGTCTTGGCGACAATTTTCAAAATCGTGCCAAGGCCGTTACCGTATACTATGATTTTACCACCAAATCTCTCTTAAAACCCCCCCCCCCTGTTCTTTTTAATAAATGCCTTAATTGTCATTTTGCAGTAAAATAAAAAAAAAAAATAGTAATCATGTCAATCTAGGGCTAACCATGTAATATAACTATATTCGCTAAAATATCCGTTGATTATTCTAATTCAATTTTTAAGTAATTATCTTTATTTTATTATTATTTGTTATTTGTATCGTTTAATGTTGCTTCTTACCTCTTAATTTATTTATTATTAGTAAAAAATATTTCCAAATTTCAGGAAATTTTCTCTGGCATAAACCTGAAATTAATTCTAGCAGTGTGATCACGAAATTTAATGCACATATTTTTTGCTTATGTATGCTGCGAAATAAATATAAAATACCTCAATTTATTAAAAAAATATCATTAAATAGATTTCTTTCTTTCATTTAGCTACAGAATGTCTGCAAAAAAAGCCTTATTTTATTCCAGATTGGGGAGATTCTAATATCAAACTTCAGTGGAGAAAACAACTCCTATTATAATTATATTTGTGTTTTCAAGTGTGAAGGTGCCTTTTAAAAAGACACCTCACGCAAATTAAATTTACCTAAAATCTAACCTAACTTTTAGCATTGTGTTGTGATTTATAAGAACCGGATTAGCCTCGTGTTGAACTGGTGATGATCATGAGTAATAATGAAATAAAACGTATAATTGTTATACAATGTATATATCTTAAATTTTATTAAGTTTCTTAAGTGGAAAAGTAAACAAAATTATCAAACAAAGTGTACCAAGAATAATTAAGAATAAATGTCCTCTGAGATTTATTGAATAATTAAGTGAATTTGCTACACAGTACAAGTAATACCATAATTAATTTACCTCTTAGCACAGCCAACGTACATTACGCGGATAGACTGGAATTTTCTCGAAACATACCTGGAAAAGTCAGGGAATTTCATTCTCCTGTTTGAGTGGCAACCCTGTTATTCCCTTGAAGCAGTTGAAGAAAGTTTGCTAATGTCATCATCAAAAACCAGCGAAGTCAGTGCAAAGGTCAACATCTTACAAGTAGCTACATTTGCGGCCGACAGCTGGCGAAAAGTAAACAGTGAGATAGTTCAGAACTGTTTTTCTCACTGTGGCTTTAAGCACTTGGTTTTCGAGGTGGATGTGGACATGCTCATTGAAAGTGAAAATGATGACAGACATGTAGAACTTCAACAGGTACAAAATTGGTGAAGAATTTTTATCCATCAACAATGAGCTTCAATGCTATGATGAAAATGAAGATTACGATGCTGCAATCGTTGCTCGAGTTGCAGCAAAACACACAACAGCATCGGAAGACCAAGAAAGTGATGATGATGATGATGCCGCTAATAAGTTGGTGCAAGTGACAACACAGGATGCGAGGAAATGCATTGAAACTTTGCGTCGGTATTTCATGTAGGAGGGAAATGAAGGTAGTCCTGTTGCTGCGTTAGAAGTTTGTGGCAATTTCGTTCACTTGCAATCCGTCAAGTGAACGCGTCAGATCACATTGGATAAGTTCTTCAAAAGTACACAATTACAAGAAGTTGTAGTATGATTCGAAAGGCCCGTCTACACGAAGCGATTTTC